GCCACGTTTTATTTATTTTTCTCTCAATGAATCCTGCAGGGCTCCGTACAAAATTAAACAAAAAAACATGACATTTCAACAGATCTTTTTTTTTAAAGTAGAACAGAACAAGTTTTAATTATTTTATTGAACAATTATTTGTTTCATTGAAGAACGAAAACAGGAATGTTGAGTTAAATGTTACTCATCCACCCCAACCCCAGTGGCCGGCGATAAACTCTTCACACTCATTAAAAAATGAACAAAAATGCACACCCCATCCAAAGATCCCCACAAAGTCCCATTCAAAATGTTAGATGAAAAGAGCCCTTCTCCCTCCAAAAAGTCGCATTAAACATTCAAATCTTTCTTCAAGCAATCCTCTGCATTTTGGCTAAAACTTTTCAGTCAATGGGCTCTTCCTGGGCCTCATCAACATCCAACTCTGAGTCTTCCTCTTCAGTGTCACTGTCCAGCCTTGTTGAGGATGGCTCTGTGTCAGGCTCAGAGAGCCTTAGGTTTGCCCGAATGCCAACCAGTTTTTCCACTCTCACATTTGTGGGCCTGTTGCGAACCTTTGTGTGGTCTCAATAGCCATGCAGTAAGCAGTGTGCTATGGCATGGATATTCAAGTGTACTTGAATGGCATCTGTTTGTTTTAGTCAAGATTATGCTAAAATATACTTTCCCCAACTATATTTAAGTTCCCTATGAAGAGCCAACCTTCAATTTTGAAAATTCCCAGTTTANGGAAACTTTCCGGAAATGTACCGGAAATTTCCACCCCTTTTCAACCCTAGCTTGGACTGTGAGCCGCATGGTCGCCGGTTCAAGTCTCCGAAAAGACTTAAAGTATATAGTGTGGACTGCTACTTGGAGAGGTCCCAGTTCCCCTCCTGGGCCCTGCCGTGTTGCCCTTGAGCAAGGCACCGGACAACCGACCCCAGCCCCCCACTCCCATTGCTCCCCGGGCAGTGTGCAATAGCATTTATTTTCTATAGTATTTATTTTCATTGCATTTTATATTGTGTGTTAGCAAAAGTAATGGTAAGTAATCACAGTGTTTCTCCTATATGCAAATAGTGGCGGCGCAGCGCCGCTGCTGAAATATGCGCGCCACTGCTAGGGGGCTCCAGCCAGGTTCCCAAAAAAAATGTTTACTTACTTTTGTATTAAAATAATAATAATTGGCGACCCTTTTTCAATTTTTGATTGTTTGTTATGTGGATTTGTAGTATTGTGTTACTGTATGTTCAATAAAGGTGTATTTTTGCTAAATCTTGAGACATTGCCCCGGACCCCCCTAGAGGATGTGACGTCCACTCCCCAATTCAAACATGTTCATACAATACTGAATACATTTGAAGCCATTTTGACGTCTATTACCTATGTCANGAAGGATGCTCCAGAGCCACTATTTCAAGGATGCTACGTGATCGAGTCCCGCCGAAAGACTGTTCCAATGTCCAGCATACTTGGAATTCTACCAAGGCCGGCGTACTTCGTTGCGGAAAATTTCGAGGCTGCACATGTGTCGACTCCGCGATCTTAAAATCCCCACAATGCTTTGCGCACGGACCAATTTCCAAATGTTTGGCGGAAATCGCGCTCCATTTAAGGCGGGGCCTCGCATATGACGCACACCTGTTAGCCTGTTCCACCATTCTTCGTTTTCCGAGGCTAGGAAGGATTCTTGCCTCGCTTCTGAAGCAACTCACTCGGAGGTACATGTGCTACCAAGGAAGCCTCCTCGACATTGAGAAACACCCTCTGCCTGAAAAACCTCAACTCTTTTGTTTACTTCTGTAACATAGTGACATTACTATGTAACACTGACGTTTCTATTGGCTAGTGCTCCAACACATTGTACGTGATAGGCTAATCTCTAAGCAGTTGACCAATCACAACAGAGCCGGCCAGCTAACCAATCAGAGCAGACTGGGCTCTGGTTTCAGACAGAGGGTGAAAAGAGGTGCTGCAGCACAGGCAGTATGAGGACAACAAAGAGCTTTTTGAACATTAGAGCACGGAGACATGTCACAGTAGACACACTAAAAACAGACGGTTATGAAACCTGAAAATGAGCATAACGGGGCCCCTTTAAAAGACTGTTTGCAGGAGATGTCATTACTTATGTTTTATGCACAGTATGTATTGAGTTTGTGTTAATAATTGATCATATTGCCATGTTCTATTCACACAATGTCTGCATTCCTCATTCAGTATTTAAAAATAATATAATCATGATCCCAAGTGGATATGTATATTATAAGAATAATGAAACTTCCTCCTTTATGTACTTCACACATGACTGCTGTGTGATTTTTAATATTTGTATTTCCTGCATATTAACTGATTTTCTCCTCTGTGTTTCAGTATTACGAGATGTCCTACGGCCTTAACATTGAAATGCACAAACAGGTGAGTGAGCTTCTGGTGTCTCTCATATTCTTCTTTAAACTTTGCATTATTCTCTTGGATTATTATACCTGCCTTCTTTCTTTTCACCCAATACTCAAAG